GGTGGCTGACCCGATACAACCCCTGGAGGGCCATATCAATAAGCCATTGGCACGATATGGCCGATATCGATACTTTGAACCTTGAATCAGAAGTTAGCTTACTTATAGATAATAATTTGCACTTGAAATCAGGTATGAGAAGCACAATTTTGAACTGTAAATTTGAGGACAAATTGATATTGCCTTGTGAAACAACTGCAAGATATTCCTGTTCAGAATGTTAACGGGTATAGCCATCGTGGCATGGTGTTGTGAACATATTGGTATGGTTGTGGGTGGTACCATGTGATCTGATGCACCACTATCAAACAACCAGATGTCAATATTTAATATATTAGGAGGATCAGAAGACTTACCAGTGAAGTTAGAGTAAGAAGCATTACGATCCACATTGATATATGAAAGCAAATGGTTAAGTTATTCCAGAGATAAACCAGTAACTAGGGACGTAGCAAAGGAGCTGGTTTCACTTACTATACTATTCTGATTAAGAGAGGCATTCTTTCCACCTGATTTGTTCTTGTCCCATCCAAGAGGGTAACCTATCAATTCATTATAGTGATCGTTTGTGTTATTGGTTTTCTTGCAATGATCACGCCTCGAATGATCCTTTGGCTTTGTATCGTTCTTGGTCAATCCTAAAACATGAAGTGCTGCAACTTCAACTATAGGAGATTGTTGTGTAATTAACAACTGGTGTTTCTCTTCTTAAGAGATTAGAGCATAAACTTTGTTAATAAAGGACAAGGGGTCCATGCCAAGTATGTTGGATCAAATGGTGTTAATTCGATCCCTTAATCCCTTCAAGAATTGATAGACCTTTCACGCTCTCTCTCAGTATTGAAATCTCTACCAGCACCACAACTATAGACTAAAGCAAGAAGGTAGGTTACAAGTTCATCCCAAATCCCCTTCAATTTAGTGTAATAAAGTGAGACGGAGAGCTTTTCTTGTTTCATCCAAGCCAACTCCCTCTTTAGATGGAAAATTCAAGGAGCATTTCTCTCTGAAAACCGCTCCTCCAGGTTCCCATGCGGGAGAACTGAAAATTAGAATTCTGTCCAAGATTTACTATAATGATGCTTATATAGATACAAAGAATCAAGAACCGATAATAACTAACCTGGGTCCGCACTTGGGTCCCATTTGTACAACTTGCGATGACAATTGGTATTAAACAAAATGACAGCCATTGTAGGTGATTAAACAAAATGACACCTGAACAGTTAAAACCCCTTGTATTAATCACCTTCAACCTAGTTTGTGTTTGTTTGCAGTGTAAATACGGGAGTGGTGTTATATTACATTCTAGTCCAGTTTTGTAACCATTTGGATGGAGTGTAATTAAACACCGAAAATTGATGTAAAATTCCATGACATCGAGTTTTATATCAATAATCGAAGAAAAAAAACATCAACAAAACCGAATTAAAAACTTTCCTCTCTCCCATCGAAGTAAAACTCCTCCCATCATTGAGGTAATGTCTCTCTATCTCCTCACCGCTTCATCGAATCTGCAACCCCCTGAGCCAAGAGTCAAGCCCCTTCTACAACCCACCAGTTTCCTCAAGACCAGTGACTTCCTATACTGGTACTCAGGAACTCTTTGAAGTTCTTACTCAATTTCAAAATTGTAATCAAACTGAGAATATGAGATCCGTACTTGACAAATATATGAAATAAAATAGGTTTTCGCATATAATTCCTATGACCTTTCTTATCTTTACTTTTACTAGGCAAACATTTGGGTCAGGTGGAAAAGACGAGGACAGGATTGAATCCCAGTTAAATAATAACCACATGAACTGATTTAATAGAGTTCGGATCTCCTGCCCACAGCATAGTATTATGCAGGGGGAGATGTTCCCAATTCACGGGGGATAGTATATTGCGGGTAGGCATGGACAGAGTTCTCGTGGACAGGAGATCCATAATCGATTTAATAAGCTGAGCCAGTTGGTACCTACATGAGCTTTGGTTGTCTCTAGAAGATAGATCAGACAGTTTGAATAGCTCTAACAAGGCATGGTCAAATATTCAAACCAACAATATATGAATGATGCAAGGCAACAGAGTAGAAATGCAGAACTGATTATTGATCATTAGTAGCCAAACTTTGAGCCATAGATACAGCATCATCCATAACCAACTAGAAAGCTCTGAACTACAACAGTATTTGAGCGTCTAACTCTTGTTCATCCACAGACACTACACAGGACTTCTAGTTTCTTTTTCTTTTTCCTTTGTTGTCTGTTTTCTCCATGGTCTTCAATCTCTATGAATGAAACCTTCTATTCTTGCTCATTGAGGTTGTAAGAAAAAAGCACAATGACAGATTCCTTTTGGAGAAAACCCATATGGTTCGTCAAATCTCCAGCACCCCTAACCTGCCTTGCCTTTTAGCGCAAAGAAGAATAATCATTCTTCAAGAAGAAATGATGGGTAATCAAGAAATCTTACTTTTGTTTATCGGAAGAGTCACAGAGCTTCTCCAACTGTTCTTGAGATTTGAACTCCACTCCGCTCGATGAAAATTAACCCACTACGGACGAACTAGCCTAAACGCCCTCGAAGGCTCATACCAGCAGGGATCCGAAGAAGTGGCAATGGTCATCTGCGTTTTTTTGGGTGTAACCAAGCAATTTTTTTAACGAATGGTTGAAAATGGCGCATGGGCTAATAAGACACCCACGGCCGTTATTCAAACACAGGTTGAATTTACATCGATGGAGTATTATCCAAACGATGGCAAAAGTGCAACGTCCATTTACATCAACTACCTAGAGGTGTAAATCGGGCGGCACGCCCGCACCCCGCGGTACGGCCATATATATTATTTATATATTTATATAATATTATATAAATTATAATTATATAATAATATATAATATATAATATATTAATAAAATAATTAATTTTTTAATTTTATTATATTAATTTATTTAATTATTATATATAAGCAATTGTATACACAAAATTCATATAAAATTAAAAAGTTTAAATTTTTTGTCAATTTTTTTAAATAAATAACTTTGGCCCGATGCACGGCCCGACCTGGCCCAAGGCTCTGCCCGCGGCACAGTACGGGCCTGCATGGATTTGGGCCGTGGGCCGTGCCGGACCGACCCCCAAAATTTTCACCGGAGAAGGCGGCACAGCCCGTAATGGCCCGCAAGCCAGCACAGCACAGCCCGCACTTTGCGCAAGCCACCCGCGGGCCGTGCCGGTGTAAATTTAGTTTTACACCTCTAAACCTACCAAACATGAAGAGTGTTAATGGGCCAACATTCCGATTGTTATTATAATCCTCGGTGTAAATTTAGTTTTACACGCAAACAAACGCACAGTTCTCCAAGTTTTGTTGTCCTCCACTGCTTCAACAGGATTGTTAGATTTTGGTAGAAGTATCCAAGAGAGATCTCTTAATAAATCTCTCTCTCTCTCTCTCTCTCTCTCAACCAGATAAGGGGATGAGTGAGAGAAGATTCAGAGCCTAGGCAATGATAGGAGAGAAGCCTACACAACAGAAGAGAAGTCTGATTTTATCAGTTCTTCCGTATGAAATGAACTCAATCCGAATTAATCCCCTGTGGGTTTTCTTTGGATTCTTGCATGAAATATTAGGTTCCATTTGAAGGTAACATTGGACGTTTTGTACAGAATAGGGAATGCAGAAAAAGAAATGGCCTACACTAAGGATGTTGGGAAAGATGAGTGCCTAGGTTAAGGAGGATAAATTGGAAATATGTACATTTGCAGGAACCAAAGTATAGCATTATTAGGTGACAGGCCTTAGAGAAAATTGAAGTGGCTTTACAATTAATCCCTTACAAAGAGTAATGAATGCAAGTGCGAACAAGTGATATGGTTTAAGTTTAAAATTTTGAAAGGACAAAAATTGGAAAAAAAAAAGAAATGGTTGAAAATAGTAACAACACTTCGAAGACTTATGATTCTCCAGTAAGATATGGCTCTGCATGGGTGGGCTTGCAATGCAGAATTTGTCTAGCCAACCTTGCAGCATGGATACTAAATTCTTTATGATACCTAATAGAGACCAGCATGGAAGCTAAATTCTTACACAGTTACACTTAGTTATCAGATTTCAGAAATGCTACCTCATATTGACTCCGGTTGGTAGGATAATGAAGCCCCAAGTGTTCAGGATGTTTGAATGTATGCATTCTTCAAGAATTACTTCCTGTGAATCCTGTCATGGAATAGGAAGGGGAAAAAAGAGCATTTGCATAATGAAAGTACTTTTTGTTAAGCAAATAAATAAATAAATAAAAGCTGAAATCCAGAACTAATTTTCTTGTTAACTAGAAGAGAGATCCTAATTTTGCTTCCTTTCAGGGACATTAAAACCTTCAAATAATTATGGAGAAAGGAAAAAAAGAGGAGCATGTATTTGTGGGATATTATTTCATAAATTAATCTGATATTCTCTCTACAATTTTCCAGAAGTATAGGTTGATGATAGATGGATATTAGGGGTAAACTACCATGACAACCCTTGAATGGACAACAAAATTCTTCCTGACCGCCCTTACTCCCCCCTTGTGTTTCCTTTTCAGAGGCAAATTCAATTATGCTGCACAGCTAGACAAACCCTGCTGTCACCCTAGCCTGCCAAGAACATAAAGAGCCATATCTCCTATTAAATATGTCTTCTCTCTACGTCCATTGACGTCTTCTTTTGCTTTCTCATTGCCTTCTAGAGTCTAGACCTTAAATTTTATGTCTAACCACCTCACTGTCAAAGTAATTGGTCTTCAAAGTATGTAGCTGAACGGTCTTAGCCAACTTCCCCTCATCTTCTCATTTACAGAGATTTAAATATCATGCAAATTAATTTGTAATTTTGTTACACATGGAAGGGGCTACAAGAACTTAGGGTAAACCAAAAAGGACATGGGTATATGTAGTAAGAAATGATTTAAGCACTAATAATTTAACAGTAAATATGGCTTTAAATTGAACAAATGGAAAAACACGATTCATGTAGCCAACCCCATGTAGTTGGGAGAATGCATGGATGATGATGACGATGATGAATTATTTGTAATTTTGTCCTCATCTCAACCCATAGGTTCCTAGAAGATTTTTGTTTTCCTTCTTTTCCTGTGGACAAGGTCATAGCAAAAGTGCAGAACAGAGCAGTTCCTCTTGCTGTCTTGAGTTCTATTCAGAAAAATTTCTAGTAGTGGCAACTGCAGTTAATAGCCCCAGGAACAGTATCATCAGTATTTTTCAACAAGGAGCACGTAAATTTTCATCTAAATTATCTTCTGAAAGAATATTGTAAGGGGTACTAAATTCCAATTCTTGCAGACTGTGATCTTTGTCCTCCTCTTGGCTTTTACATGGGGAACTCTTATACAAGCCCCTACTCCTATTGAGAAGTCCCTCCTTCATCATGGCTGCATATCTTTCCCTGATCCCCACTAAAGGATGCTTCTGGAGCAGTTTCTCACAGTCATAGGCCTCCCTAAGAATGACGGTCTGTGTTGCACACTTATGAGAAATGTAGAAAATGCCTGGATGGCGACCAAACACCTTTGTGAACTTCTGGGGCAGGCCCAAGGGTTTACGGAGATTGCTCACATTCTTACGCTCAGTCTTCTTTTGTAGGGTGAGGTGGAGAAGCTCATGAAAGACTCCTACAATTCTTTTCTCAGAAACATCTGTACGGGGATCAAGATGGGATGCATCCACATAAGGAGAAGTATATGGGAGCTGTTGCCACTCCTCTAGCCATTGCATGCACTTCTTCTTCAATCCAAAACCCCTAGTGAACCGAATTGGGAAACCCAAAGTTTGAACACCTTGTTGCTGCCATTGGTGGTGGTAGTGTTCAACTGCAGCTGCAAGAGAACTTTTCTGCAATTGCGAGACAGCTAGACGCTCATCCCAGCATAAGAGTTTCAATCCAATCCGATCATCAGGGAGGTGGATGAATGAAAAGAGCTGTGGATAATGGGGAACCAAGGAGAAGGAATAGTCATTTGGCAAACCCATATCCCATTTCAGTTGGTCAATGGTTTGCAAAGGCAGGATCCTATCTCTAGTGAGCATGAGCAGTTTCTGGAGCCTCTCAACAAGGTCAGTCTCATTCGCCTGGAAGATTTCAATCTCTTCTTGGTGCAGTTTGAGTGCCCCGTCTGTCAAGCAGAACCACGGGACAGTACTGCCTCCAGCAATAACAGGAAATTCAGAGAAAAGGGTCGGGTATCTTCTAATGAAAGTAGAGAGCCTGAGATCTGGGGATAGACCAAGCTGCTTGCGATGTTTCAAGAGATGGTATATGGGAAGACAATGGCGAGGATCACAGGCGAGGATAGAGACAAGAAGGCAAGCAGCTCTGAGTTCACCTTCCCCAGCCACAATGGCATCCAAGGCTCTGTCCTTCACCCATTTCAGCTTTATATTAACCAGACTAAACCTCTGCTCATACGCAAATCCATCTCGACGTAGGCTAATGACACTTGAGCTTCCTGCTCTTCCCAATAACAATCTAAGCATTTCTTTCTTTCCCGATCAGGCTCCTTTTTGGTTCATAAGAAGGTAGCCCTGAAAAATATAAGAAAAAGAATCAGCTTCATATCACTTTTGCAAACAAGACTGGTTCACTATTTAATACTCAGACCCTTGACAAAAACAATCTGCACCATGACCATCTCTTATAATTGTTTTTTTCTTTTTTTGCATCCAAAATGCAACAGCTACAAACCATTCACATAAATACTAAAAAGGAAAACAAAGGAAATTGAAAGAAGCACAAAAATCGGTTCAAACTTCAGAGAAACCATTTAAAATTCACATAAGTTTAGGTCAACTAGATCCATTTATTAATTTTCTACTACTAAATCCATAATCACCAAGGTTAGTAATCTTTCTTTTGAGATTTCAAATTTACATGACATTCTAACAACTATCAACGGCAAGTCCAATAGTGAAACATTTGTATAGTTTTTATTCAATAAAGTTCAGTAAATGGTCACAAGCTGAGTATCAGATTAATTTTTTTTTCTTTCAATTTTTCCTTATCTGTACAGCCAGTTAAAAGGGTCCTTTACCATGTGATTGATCTCTATTTCTATCTTGTTTGGTAAAGGTCCTGTTTAGAAGAAAAAACACACAAACAGAAATGAGCTGAATGCAGACTATATATCACCTTCAAAGAGCAAGGGAATATAATTAAAAATTAGCACAAAGGAAAAAAAAGGAGCTAATTACAATTGTTAAGAGTCATAAGAACCAAGAACAACAATTCTCATATCTTTATTTAAAGTTTGGACTGTCTCCATCACTCCATGAATGTCACAAGGAGAGTAACTTCAAATACTGTCGGTGATATTGGAGAGTGGCAAACAAATGGGACATGAAAATCATCGACAGGAAGAAGAATGTCTATAAGCTGTAGAGAGGGGAATATATTTCTGCAGAAAACAAAGAAATCATCTGTGGAAGATGCCCTCTCATCATATCAGTACAAATTGGGCATGCAATAGTTTATATTCCACTATTAGAATCCCATGGTAAATCAAAACTGTGCACATATACAGTAGTTTTTGTGTCTATAAAAATTTATGATTGTTGATGTAAAAACCAAGAACTATCAGAGCTGAACACAACTAATATATCTATAAAAGATTACCATTTGAAACCAAAAAATAAACAGAAATAACAGCTTTCAAGTGGGTCATTTTGATCAGAAATGCCAGACGGCAGAGTAGATGCTAACATCAACTAAAAAAATAGGACTGACTTTGGAGATGATCGACTACCAATGGTGTTTCTTCCGTTTTTCTTCTTTCTTTTTTTGGCAAAACTAAAGGAGAATTCACTAAGAAGAGTTTAAATTACATCTCCATGCTCAGCTAGGGCCAGAGAAGTGCTCCCATAGCCAGCTTGGTGGAGTTTCAAGATATTCCATGTCACCTTGTTGCCTAGCTTTTCCTGCTTTTGTATGAGCTATGATATTACGGTCTCTTTTGATACAAGTTACTTTACAGCTGACAAATTGATTAACAACATACTCAATTTCTTCAATCAGTGCCTGCCGTAGTTGTCAAGGCAATGCCTAGGCGGGCGCCTAGGTGACAAGGCGCCTTTTGAAGCTCGCCTTGCCTAATCGCCAAGCAGTTTTGTAGTATGTATTATAAAATTCTTTTTTATTCTTTATTTTTTTGACATTATAATTATAAAATAGAAACTATTAAACTAAAATATTCATTTTGTGTGTGTTTATATACAAATTTATTTTTATTACTTTTCTTAGAGAGAATGACTGATCAGTCCAGGTCAGAATTTTGTAGCCCCACCATACAGGGGAGATGAATCCTGACCGTGAATTGATGCCATGGGCAGGATGCGGTTTACGGGGGGGGGGGGGGCTACTAGTAGACTATGGGGTGCTGTCATTCAGAATTCTGCATTGGGTTGCAGAGTACTTAACCCCTTTTCTTATTTGTTAGGGTTTAATCAATATAAACATTGCTAAATGCTGTATTGAACCCCTAAAGACTTTAAAACCTGAACCAGTAAGAAAGAACTTAAAATTTTGTCTAATCAACACATTTTCTACTACTACTACTACTTTTTCTTTTCTTCTTTTCCTATAACAAAAATAAGGGTAGTTCCCTAGGTACCATAACCATATTTCCTTAATAATTATTCATAATTTTCATAAGAAAAGTATAGAGTTCATGTTAAAGTATAAAAAATCAACATATTCATGAGAAGAAAAAGAAAAAGGAAAAGAAAAGGGAAAATTCCCGATCAATACCTTGTACTTTGGCTCGAGTGACAAGTTGGTCCCCGAACTTTAAAATGCGACAATTCAGTACCCGAACTTTCAAAATGTGACAATCCAGTACCCGAACTTTCAAAAGGTGACAATCCAGTACCTATCGTGACCAGTCTGTTAATCAGCCGTTAAGTGACATTTGAAAAGTCAAAAATGCCCTAAGAATGCCATCTAATTCTCTTTATCAACCATCCAAACATTGACAATAAAATGAATAGTCCCAAATTCTAGATTCTTCTAAACAGTCACCAACCATTTTTGAATAGAAGAGGCTAGGATTTGGGACTGTTCAGTTTTTTGTCAACGTTTGGATGGTTGATAAAGAGAATTAGATGGCATTCGAAGGGCATTTTTGACTTTTCAAATGTCACTTAACGGCTGATTAACGGACTGGTTAACGGCAGGTACTGGATTGTCACATTTTGAAAGTTTGGGTACTGGATTGTCGCATTTTGAAAGTTCGGGTACTGAATTGTCGCATTTTAAAGTCCGGGGACCAAATTGTCACTCGAGCCAAAGTACAGGGTACTGATCGGGAATTTTCCCTTTTCTTTTCTTTCTTTTTCTTCTCATGAATATGTTGATTTTCTACACTTTAACATGAACTCTATACTTTTCTTATGAAAATTATGAATAATTATTAAGGAAATATGGTTATGGTACCTAGAGAACTACCCAATCTATGTTTTCTACAGAAAAAAATCTATTACCTAGGCGACTAGGCCCCCCCCCTGTCGCCTAGCCTCACCTTGGCACCTTGAAAACTATGGTGCATGTTCCAACCATCTTCTGTTTTTGCTTTTGTTAGATACTTGAGAGACTAGAGTAGCAGAATCTGTGAAGACTTGAACCTGTTTCAGACCAAAATTTAGAGCCCAATTTAATGCAGTTAATATGGCTCATTACTCTGCTTGTTCTAGACTTAGAACCTTCAAATGTTTCCCAATTGCTGCAACAAAATAATTTGTTGGGGATTGATAAAATTCAGATCCGCACTGTTATTAGATTAAGAATAACAGTAGGAGATTGTATGAGAGAGAAGAGAGAAGAAAAACGGGTTTGAACAAGAGAGAAAAATCTCTCTCTCTAGTTGGCCAGGATGATGTATTTATTGTTTTACTAATCATAAAACAATTATTGTTATGCCCCTACTTCAAGTCACACATTACACCTCACCCCCAATATAAATAAAAGGACCAAACTGCCCCTATACAGCCGTCACTAACACTCCCCCTCAAACTGGTGAGTATATGTCATATAGTCCCAACTTGTTACATATGTAGTCCACTCTTCCCTAACTCAACCCTTTGGTGAACAAGTCTGCCCATTGACTTCCTATGTTAATATATGCAATACTTATCACTCCACTGAATACCTTTTCTCTCACAAAGTGACGATCAATTTCTATATGTTTTGTTCTCTCATGAAAAACTGGATTGGAAGATATGTGGACTGCAACTTGGCTGTCACAAATAAAGCTTCATAGGGGTATCAATCAAATACCCCATCTCCTGTAAGAGGTTCCTCAACCACACTAGTTCACAAGTTGTATGTGCCATGGCTCTATATTCAGCTTTTGCACTGCTTCTTGCCACCACTGTATAGTGGACCTTCTATCAGATACAAGAAAGGTACAATAACCTATAGTGGACCTTCTATCAGATACAAAACCAGCCCAATTAGCATCAGTGTATCCCTCTATCTCAAGACTTCCTCCACTCTTGTATAGCAAGCCACGACCAAGAGCTCCTTTCAAATACCATACAATCCTTAGGATTGCATCCCAATGTGGAACCCGAAGGATTCTGCATGAATTGGCTCACCATATTAACTACAAATGAAATATCTGGCTGAATAATGGTTAGGTAGTTTAACTTACCCACCAACCTCTTGTACCTTCCAAGATCTTCAAACTCATCACCTGCACCACTACTCAATTTGGCATTTGGTTCCATAGGTGTTTCAGTTGGTTTGGCACCCAACAAACTTGTCTCTTTTGACAAATCAAGAGCATACTTTCTTTGACACAAATTAATATTGCGACTTTTATCCCCAAGAAATATTTTAATTTGCCAAGGTCCTTTGTCTGGAAGTGATCATGCAAAAAAGTCTTAGTCTATCAATCCCCAACCTATCACTGTCGGTAATAACAATGTCATCTACATATACTACCAATAAAATCTTCCCAACACTTGAATCATAGATAAATACTGACACTATTTCATGCCAAACTTCTTTACCACTTCACCGAGTCTACCAAACCACGCACGGGGGACTGTTTAAGTCCATAAATGGCCTTCTTTAGTCTACACACTTTACCATCCTCCCCTTGAGCAACACACCCTGGTGGTTACTCCATATAGACCTCAAGAAGATTACCATGTAAAAAAGCATTCTTGATGTTATGTTGAAACAAAGGTCAATCATACATAATAGCAAAAAGATATCAAAACATGAACCGAGCCAATCTTAGCAACAAGAGAGAAAGTCTCTATGTAGTCAATACCATACATTTGGGAGTAACCTTTGGCAATTAGTTGAGCTTTCAGCCATTCTACACTACCATCGGGTAAATGCTTAATAGTGTATACCCAATTACAACCTACAGGCTACAGCATGCTTACTAGGAGGGAGCGTGGTGAGGTCCCACATATGATTATGAGCTAAAGCGGAGAGTTCTTCTTCCATTGCATGGCGCCACCCTAAAGAGGAAAGAGTTTTCTAGACATCCTTAGGAACAAAAACAGAAGACAGCATAGAA